GCAGGAATGAATGAAAAAGAAACATATTTTGGATAATGAGAGCCAAAGTTCTCACCGCCAGAAACAGAAGTTACAAGCAAGGAAATATACTGTAGTATTAGATTAGAATTAGAGGCATCAATATGAACTTGTGGTTTTTATAAGTAGGTAGGCCGACGGGTATGGATGGATGTGAACACATGTGTCCTAGCTCTGTCCGGTGAGAGATCCTAGAAGCAATGACATTGCTTCAATGTCAAATTGCTGGTCCAAGAACCAATGAATACAAGTGGCCAGATCATGGTTTCTAATACTATTCTCCAATAAATGAACTAGAACTCCTTAGAAAAATAGTTAATTCCAGGGTTGGGGACAGAGAAAATATGTGATGAGCCTGGAACACCTTGTGATACTAAAGAACACATCAAAGGAAGCACATCAAAGGGAATTAGGGCCAGCCTTAAGGAGCTCCCAAGGGCCGAAACCATTTGGGACACTCGTAAACGATCAAATAATGAGAGCATTAGATTATAACCCAAGATAAACTAAACATCCGTGAGTTCATAATGATATAAGTAAATAACCGAAGAAATAAATAAACAAATGTTGGAGAATGGACAGCTTTTCCTTCCTGGAGCATCCCAATTAATAAATATGTAAAAAATCACTGAAAGAGAAATTATCACTAGGCAACTTCCACAGTCAGAATCGTCTCAGGCAAGATCTACCAATGGATGCTAACGTTAATGGGTGAGAGTATGGTGAGATATGGGCATATCTCAGAATATCTCCCTGTAAGATGCTTCTTAATTAAAAAGAGAAAGTAGTGCCCACGGGCAGAAACTTGGCAGACAGCACTTCACCAAGTGCTGTCACTTCACTTCATCAACATCACGTACCCTCTGAAAGATGCACTGAGAAATCTACAACGTTACTTCCGTGGTACTCTTGCCCCAAATGCATAACTTTGGTCTAATCGTGAGGAAACATCAGACAAATCCAAATTGAGGAGCATTCTGTAACTACTACTCTTTAAAAATACCAAGGTCGGGAAAGTAAAAGGCTGATGAAATTGTGTACATTGGAGGAGACAGGAGAAATATGAACTGCATGCAGTGTGAGCCCCTTGACTGGCTCCTGGGCTAGGCAAAAGGCCTCAAAAGGCCTCATTAGTGGGAAGGAGGCAAAATTCAGATGAGGGCTATAGATTAGTTAGTAGTATGGACTCAATGTTACTCGTTTCCTAACTTTGATAACTACACTATGATTATGTTGGATGTGAACGTTAGGGATAGATGAAGGGTATATGGAATCACTCTGTACTATTTCTGTAACTTTTCTGAAATATGAAACTATTTCAAAATTGAAAATTTTCACAATACAGCACAACAAAGTACCATAAAAATTAAAATTCAACCTATTTCTTCTTATAACTAAACAGTGGCAGCACTTCTTTAAAAATCTCAAAGAGTAGTAAAGTTCTAAGGCACAGAACACCTTGGTCATTCACGCTCCAATCCCATGCCTGGCGAACTAAGCTCAGCCTTGCAAGAAAAGAAGAGTCAGGACTGCACACGAAAAGAACCACACCTTCTGCCGCCAATCCAAGCCTTTTCAACGCCAATAGTCCGATCAGTTAGCAGACCAAAAGGTGTATTCACAGAATATGAAAAGTATTTATAATTACAGTTTGTCATTTTGAACAAATGCTATTGACATCAATCAATTCATAAGACAAAAAAGAAAACCACCATAAGGTCGTAGAGACATGAGACAAACAGGAAGCTCAGAATCCTGCTGCGGCATCTTATATAATTAGCTGATTAAACAATCTGAAGGAAGGTTAAGTGGTAAGAAGAAATTAAAGTCAGATGAATAGTTGGGCCACTCAACCTTATAATAAGCAACATCAGTGGGAAAAGAAATCCTTAGCAGTTATAAAAAATGGAAAGGTGTTTGTATATATACACTAAAGTTTCCATATACAGTATATATGTGTGTGTGTTGTAGGTATACATATGTATGTATATATACATATATATAAAATCAGCCTGTTTATCTGATAAGCATCTACGCATATTAGTAACACAGACAGCAACCCCTGATTCTACAGATCAGGGGTCAGCAAGCATTTTTCTTAAAAGGTCCAGATAGTAAATATTTTTGGAGCTGTGCAATTCAGTCTCTGTCACAACTATTCTACTCTGCATTGTAGCATGAAAACAGCCGTACACAATACATGAATAAATGAGGGTGACTATGTTTAAATAAAACTTTATTTACAAAGCAGGCCATGGACCAAACTTGACCCACGGGCCATAGTTTGATGATCCTGCACTAATTTGCTCATCCCTCTAGTAACATCCAATTTAAATTTTTCAATTTGGGAAATAAAACTAGAAGTCAAGGTACCTTGGTAACCCTGATAAGCTAATAATATTCATTTCAAGCTCTTCATCAAGATTTTGAATTTCTGTACTTGATTTTAATTTCATCAGACTTCTCACAAGGTGTGTGGCTTAATACGCATTTTGAAGATATTAAGTTCTGACATTTTGGTGCTTAATTGGAAGCAAATGAAATTCAAGTTTTGTTATTCACTTTTCACAATGATGTGTTCTCTCAAGAATCAAGTCCTTTCTGCAAACTGAAAATGGAGATTGAAAATTACAAAGAACGAGCCTTAAATGCCACACATGATGGAAGAACTTATACACATATATTAGTTTCAATAATTATCTTCAGCATTTTTAGAAAACACAAGAATTATGAAATCTGGACTGTGCCATGAACAAATGCTGTTTGAATTTCAGTGGCAGAATCACAGTTGGTGATTTGCAATATGCCAATAACATACAATTCTACAGCTTTCATTTAAACCAAAATTTAAGTACCAGGTGCAGACATAAAGTAATTTTGTGTTAAACTGGGAAGGATATATGATTTTAGAAAATCTATTCTACAAGAATACACAGTAGCATAGCAAAAGAAACCGAGACCTTCACAAAAACATCACATATTAAAAATCTCTATCATGTCCTTCAAAAAATAAAGGAAATGCCTTGCTTTTAAACTTGTGAAACGTGACTCAAATCCATATTTTAACAGATGGAATCTTCACTGCTGTCCATGAAGTAGATTGCTGTTGAAAGTTCACTTTAACTTTCAATAGTTATTACTTCATCGCTCTTCTGATCCATTCACCTATCCAG